AGCAAGGATGATTCCAGGGTTACAGGGCAGTAATGCAGGCACAGCAATGGACTTTACGCCAATAAGGTAGAGCAAGGGTGGAGTCCAGGGTCACACACAGGGCAGCAATCTTAGGGCAGCAGTTCATAGGGCAGCAATCACAGGCACAGCAAGGGAGACGAGGAGTAAGCAACTCACGCTGTATGTGTCTGACAATCTTGGGAAGCTGCTTGGCTTGGCTGAGGGAGGTCCAGGCAAGGTGATCCCCAGAATGATGAGATTGTAGAGTTCTTCTGGAGAGTGATCTCTGGGTCCTGGGAAGGGTGATGTTCCTAGTTGACCTGGTCGCAGTGTCAAGTACACCAGGTAGCAGGCAGCACACAGCAAGGGAACAAAGGGTCTTCTTGGTGTCTGAACAACAGTTCACAGCTAGTAAGGAACCACAAGTTCCCAGCAGACCTCCACAGCATATGACAGGGAGAGCACTACAAATCCCAGCAGACTAGTAGCAGTAATTGAGCAGACCAGTCAGGGTTAAGTTTCTGTTCCTTTGAATCAACAGAGAGATCCTGGCCTCAGGGTAGCCTCCGTTATGAACAACGGCTTAACCCTCCCACAGACCTTAAAAACATCCTGAAAGTTGCAGGCACAAGAGGGGAGGGAAAGGGAGTATTCAGGCTGTTGCTGAGCAACTATCCTCACCCCATGTGTCTTTTGTTCTGGGGAGGCTGAATTGGCGGGAAACAGGAAATGTTTACTGGGGCATGGGCAGCTTATCTCAGTGCCCAGTGTCCAGACCCCGTTGTCAGGTTCACAGTGGTCCTTCTGTGATCTGCAGACCTCTAGCTGCAACAGCCAGCAGGGCAGAGGGAGGGGCCTGGAGCGAGAACACTGCAGGTCTGCTCAGTGTACAGCTCAGATCTGCAGCTGACCCCTTTGATCTGTGCCAGAGATCGAAGCCCAGGTTTCTGTTGCTGGGGGGAGGTTGGGAGCCAGGAAGTGGGGACCCACAAGGAGCTGGGGAGGATTGGGGAGCAGAGAGAGAGGGACTCAGGGCTTCAAGGAGCTCCTTTCTCCACACCAGCATAGAGTATTTAAATCATAAATCACAATGTGTATGGTGGGCATTAGATTCAATGTAACCCAAGCATTTACGCTATCACAGTAATAGGCACTGTATTATCATAGTCATAAATGCTATTACAGCTGTAAATACTATCATACTAATTGAGGCACTGATACAATTATGTTGTATAAATCTGCACTATGCTGAATGATAAACAAAACTAACCACCTGTTTTATGGACTTTTATGATAAAAGGGGTATGGGGTAATGCAATGCCAACTTCTCCTCACATGGCCTTTGTTTATATGCTGCCCTTTGGAGAACACCAAGGTTTCATAACAACAATTAGACCAGGACTGACTTACTACTCACATATCCCTATTTTTACAGTAAAGGCACAAATGGACAGATCTACACTAAATGATTATGATTTGTCCAAATATTGATAATTAGGGGTGTCTTTTCAGAGAGATAAGCTTGTATTTGAAAAGGATGTGTCTTTAGTTACAGTGCGGCTACATACAGGGCAGGATTTGAGTCAAGGTTTTTAGTTTACCTTGAGAGAGACCTGATCCTACTTTCCCCAGCATAGCAAATGGATACTGGATACACCCTCCAGTCAGGGAGTGTTGCTGAGGTTTAGACTGCAGTGGCAGTTGGGGAAGAAACATCTTTCAACTAGAAGTAAGACATAACTGAGAGGAACACAGAGCATGGTGTTGAATTTTAAACTAGACCACACAGAGATTCATATACACACACACACACACACACGCAAAATCACATACAGACACACAAAGGTTGAACTTGATGGACCAGTGTCTTTATTCAACCAAGTGAACCACATTTAGCAGACTACTCACAGTACTTCAACCTGGGACCACAACATCTTGCCATGTGTTCTTGTGCATTGCAGAGGGCTCCAAAAGAGGGTGCTGGGGCATTGAAACACACTTTTTGTGCATTTTGTTCAGTGACATAGAGAATAAAGATCCTTGTAGCTATAGATATTTAGCCTGGAGCACTGTCAGGTCCTGAACTTAAATTTCAGCATGAAAATTATAGCCATTCAGAAGGCAGTCATTATTTTGTTTAGGTGGAATGTAGCTTGAAAGAACTATGGTCTGTTATTTACAGAAGTGTTATAACTTTCTGATATTTATTGTGTTGAGAACTGTTGGGTAGCCATGAATCAGACGGTGACAGTTCTTTTCTTCTTGCTCCTCTGTAATCTTCAGCCCTCTGAAATGGTGACACATGTCAGCTTTGTAAGCATTACCCAAGTAGCTCTCAAGTGCATTTATGACATTGAAAGAAGCACTTAGAGAAAGATGGGAATGATGGTTTGCTCTCATTTACTCAGAATGCAAATAGTAGTGACATAGCCATTCATTTAGCAATGTGTCCTCATGTGCCCTTAACGTATTTACCAAAACAAATACATAATTTATTTTAAATGGAAATGTAACAAAAAAGGTTTTTCTAAAATGAATGATAAAAAATATTACCCGGGGAAGACCAACTCCAGATAAGAATGTATTTCTTTGTGGATAGAGAAGAGAATGTTTTTATTGCTGCCTATGTTCCTACCGGTGGAATTTCACCTGTTAGGAAAATAACTGATGGGAAATCACTCATGGACACAGACAAAAACAGGAACAATTTGTGGTAGCATTGAGAAGTGTTGTCATTGCTAACCATGCCTTTCTTTCCCAATGACTACTCTATCCATTTCTTGTACGGGCACTACGGAGATATGAAGTGAGGAAAAAACAAAGCAAAAGATCAGAAACTGTAAACAATAAGACAGTTTTGATAAATGTCCTCCAATGTTCCCTGATGCCCCTCTAACCCCCCAAACTTAACCCTTATCCTTACTTAACTATACCCTTCACTTAGGTCTAGATTAAAGCTTTGTTACAAATGCTCACCTTCAGTTCTATGAACTTTTGACAATAAAAGCCAGGTAAGCACCAGTAAAACAAGGAAAGGTGCTTTGCAATTGGAATGCTTCTAGCACAGGGGTGATTTCTTGGAGCCTAAGGTTACATGTCTACAAGCTCTATGGGCAGAGATGGGGGGGGCCCGTTGGTGTCCGGCCGCCGGTTACCATCGGATCGGTATGCGTTGGGCCCCCCCCATCTCTGTGCCGGGAGTGTCAATTGATCACATTGGCTGACAGCCCTGTGTGTGTGTCCATCTCAGCACCTCCCCTGTGTTTGTGTCCATCTCAGCGCGCCCGTGTACTCAGGCGGCTGTTTGCTGGGTTTGCCCAGGGCTGCCTCCTGCAGTGCCTGCAGGCTTTTTTTTTATTCTCGGCTCCCTCCACAGTTTTTGGCGGCCGACGGGCCCCCTCATCTCTGCGCCAGGAGTATCAGGTCTTTCCGACACTCCCGGTGCAGAGACGAGGGGGCCCCTCAGCCGCCGAAAACTGTGGAGGGAGCCGAGAATAAAAAAAGAGCCTGCAGGCACTGCAGGGGCCAGCCCTGGGCCTCGGCCGTGAGGACCCAGCAAACAGCTGCCTGAGTACACGGGCACGCTGAGATGGACACACACACCCAGGGGTGATTTTCTGCAGCCTCCCCCACCAGGAAACGACCAGAGGAGGTGAAGGTAAGTTAATAAATAAAATCATTATTTTTTGTAGCCCAATTGATGGCATTGCTGTATAAAGTACAGCTGGTATTTGTAGTTCTATATAGCTGGTCCCATTCTGCATTGCAGCAATGCAGAATAGCACCCTCTGTAGAGGACTACAAATCTCAGCAGTACTTTATACAGCAATGCCATTTTTCCAACTATTTTTTTTTGTGGTTGCTAAAGGGGATATGGGTTAGGGTTTTTTTTTTTGGGGGGGGGGGGGCAGGGCCCAAAAATAATCTTGCACCAAGGCCCTTTGTTCCCTAGGTCCGCCACTGCTCAGTAGTACCTATGATGTTGTCAGCACAGTAGATCATGTGCCACCTATGTTTCATAGGAAAAAGGCCCTCCCCAATAGTACAGAAGGAAAACCTGTACTGAAGGAAATACAAAGGCTGAGCGTCCTCCAGTAAATGCTGGTTGTTTGGCGTTCACTGGTCTAAATGCTTTCTGAGTCACTGACCTGGACAAGTATACAGATCAGATAAATCTGGTTTAACTCTGAACATTTAATTTACATTCTTGTTCTGGACCAGGGACTTATAAAATATTAAAGCCAATGGATAGCAATGACTAGGAAAACAGCATTCTCAGAAGAGAGGTCATCAGTGACAGCCTGCATACTTGTCCAGTACAGGTTTCTTTAAGTTGTATTCTATTTGGGAACTTTGCAAACAAATCCAAAATGTAAAAGTGTTTTTGCCCTCCCTGTAAAGCAGTAGACATTTTTCAGGAGCCAGGCATCTGTCAGGTAACCTCAGTAGAACAAGTTAAAGGGAATGTATAGTAATTATGTATGTAATTATAGCTCAATAGCTCCCTCACCACCTTCTCTGTTCAAAAGGGGCTGTATGGAATTTCCGCTAGGCTCCTAAGAATTTTTCAACTCTTACCAGAAATATAAACATTTGTTTAGATCATAAAATAGTACTGAACCCTCATCAGGAATACTCATAATACATCAGAGTGATATAAATAAAAAAACTTATAAAGAACTCATGCACATAGAGTTAAGTAATTCTTTATTAAAACACAGGCACATATGCTGGGCCGATGCATATGTCATCGCCCCATAATGATTTAGCTTCATCTTCTTACACTTTTTTTTTCTGTTCATAACATGTGTGTATGGCAAGTCAGAACAGAAAAAAAATTAATTATGTGTTGATGAATAAACATTACATTATTGATTTTGCTATGCTTTATATGTATTGGAAGTTTTTTTCACAATTGCAATGTAAGTGTCAAAAACTTATTTTTGTTTTGCAGTCATCATACACCAACCGGAGCTCACTGTGTCTGCATTATCAATGATCTAATTCATCTTTTCTTCTACTTCCTTTACTTGGGAAGAAACAACTTTTCCGTCCACCACCTCTTCAACAATAGTCTTCACTTTCCTTACTTTGGTGGGATCTGGAATACACAAGAATTCGGCTTTGTAATGCTTATCCTCTTAAACGCGAAAAGTCGTTAGTATACAGATTGCTTGTGCATACGGACTCCCATATCTTTCTTTTGACATTATGCTGTCTTATGCTGGCCATATATTTTACATTTCAGTTTTATGCTCTCTGTACAATCCCTTTGGACTTATGAACACGTATGTAGTATGGACCTGAGCAGTCCATTTAATTTATAATTGGTAGTTCCAGGGCTGGATTTACTCTCTCTGCTGCCCCAATGCCAGGTTCCTCAATGCACCCCCCTGTTTGCAGGCTGCATACAAGTGATCTCGGCATTATCGCCAATATCACTTGTCCAAAACAAGCAGCGGTTTCCCCACTGTACATTTGCTTAAAGCAGGGCTTAATGTAGGGACCAACTACATGCCCGGCGCCAGGAACTACATGTGCCTGGCATCGGGAGATAGGAATCCCACATCCCTGCTGCCCCTCTACTCCCTGCTGCCCCGTGGCCGGACCTCGGTTGGCCTTGTGGGAAATCTGGCCCTGGGTAGTTCCCTTCACAACATAGCTGTTGGTAATTCCAAAGGTGGTTCCCAAGGGGTACAATAGGATGTAAAGTGTGTGGCCAGGATAAGGCATATGTAAATCATGAAACTCTTCCTCAGATGTTACTTTTTTGTCAGTAACTAGACATAAATAGTGGAGGCAAATGCTGTCTGTTTTATGCTCAAAACTAACATTGGACTTCTAAGTAAACCAATAAAGAGTCTGACAAAGAATTGGTTGGTTCCACACATTTTCACACCTCCTATCTTATTCTTAGACAATTATCATCTACCATTATACATTCCATGATGATTGTATTAAGGTGACTAAGTTACATGTGTAGGTACAAATGCTGAAATATGTTCCTGACACTCATTTTAATGGAAGAACATCTTAGATAAGATTGGCCATGCTTTGAAAAGCCCTGAAATATCTTCAGCATTAATGACAAAGTCCACTTGAATGTGACTAACTAATGCTAACCATTAGGGTTGTCACTGTAACAGGAATAGAGGGGAAATCGTTAATCAAGAGCATCTTTTACAGTGACAGCTATCAAGGTAAGTAGAGTTGACCTATCACTTTCATTTGTGTTTTCAAGACAGGTATTGAAGAGAAATGTCCCCAAGCACACAGCCCTGACAATCTGACAGAGGTTCTAACCCTTTCTCACACTATCATAAACTTAAAAATACGTTTTTGATCCCACTCACTCTTAAGTGACTTCAAGTAAGTGGTAATCAAAGAAGAAGCATAGGGCCGCTTGTTGCCCTCAGGCTCATTCAAATAGTGACCTTTGTTGCTACACAACTTGCATTTACACTGGTGATACCTTCTTCTTTAACATTTGACTAGGTCAAGCCTAATTAAAACCTTACCTTTTTTGGAGTCCACTGATGATGCCTGAGATGTTGTTTGTTGGATAGCGAAACTTCTGTAATTAGAAAACAATATATATCTTGGGTTAGTATTTTGCAAACTTCCACATAACAAAGAAAAATAAAGGTATGCCAATTTTGTCACTTGTCCCTTTAAATACAGGCAACATGTTTACCACTTTCAGTCATAGTTACATAGTTACATAGTTACATAGTATTTGAGGTTGAATAAAGACACATGTCCATCAAGTCCAACCTATTTATTGTGTGTGTGTGTGTGTGTGTGTGTGTGTGTGTGTGTCATCTAATTTATAATAGTTATAAGAGGAACAGACAACTCAGTTGGCTGACAGACCAATGGTTTTGTTGTACTTAAATGCCAAGCAGCATTGTCAGTCATGGCTTCTAAACTACAGAGCTCTTCCTATCCCCTTACCCCTCTCTATCCCACCGTACATACATACATTGATTTCTTTCTGAGCAAACAATGCTGTTGCTTTGATTCACAAAAGCCTGCCTGCATAATGTACTTAGGCAAAGGACTCTTGGAAACCTAGTTCTGTGGAGGTGCCTAGATCCAGTGAAAGTGAGCTTCCAGATGCAATCCCTGCAAGAATTTTAAAAGGTGACTTATGTTGTCACAGGGAATCATAAAAACAGTTTTACACTATGGGAACAAGGTACAAAACGCTGGGGCATGCTCTAGAGGGGGTGAGGGGGGGTTTGTGGATACATTGGTTAATGTCTGGACCTACCCTTTATCTCGGAACAGATTTAGTGTAGACAACCTTACTTATCAGCATCATCATCCAGCATTTTCTTACCCAAGTTCTCCCTCCAGCAGGCGTCTGTAGGTTTCAATCTCCATCTCCAGTCTGGTCTTGATGTCCAAGAGCCTTACATATTCTGCCTTCTGTCTTTCCATGTCTGATCTGACTTGCTGAAACTGTTCTTCAATGCTGCTGATCTGGTTCTGGAGCTGGTTCAGCTGTGCACAGTAACGACCTTCTGTCTCTTCTAATGTTCCTTCCAGAGAGTTTTTCTAAAAAATATGAAAAATATGTTGTATGACTTTCCTCCCGCAAAAGAATTTTTGAAAATATCCTTTAAATTTCCACAGATTTTGATGTTAATGCCATTTAACTATTCATCTTTGGTTTTATTGGCAAAGTGGTCCTTTTTGAACCATGTAATATGATCAACCTAAAATGATTAATCCCTAAAATTACATAAAGGGGGTTTACCCTCTACTAAGATAGGGCATTTTCTATTTTTTGGTTAGCTATCGAATTACTTGGGTGCCTCTGAACATCCTCAATCTTTGAAGTTCTAGAGTACAACATTTATCTGCTGTGAATTGATTGATCTTCCCTTTTTCACACTCTGAAGTACATGGAGAATCCACTAGAAGATCTAATGCACTATAATATTGATATTACAGGCTACATAGTGAATTCTCCTAGGACTGGATCATGAACAAGGCCACCTAGGCAATAGCCTATGACCGGTGGATATCCAGGGGTCCAGCTAGGTAGACCACGGAGAGAGCACAAAGCTGTCTTCCTGTCTGTCACTACACAAAGGAGGAAGGACTTTGTGGGCAGATATTGTCTGATAGGGCCATTCCTGTACAGACAAATTAGTCAGCTTCTTTATGTATTGCAGTCCTAATTAATTTAAAAAGGTGTGGGTGGGAAAGCTCCTACTATGCCTCAGGCCTCATTCTGTCTTAATCTGTCCAAGGATTCTCTGTTGGAATATACAGAGAATACATGTCACGGTAGGATGATAGGACTAGATGTGAGGGAACTAATTCAATTCATTGTCTTTGTGAAACAAAAAAAAAAGGCTTTTGGGTGGGATCAAGGCTAGATTTCTGCATAACTGTCATAGGCTATCCAGTGCAAGATCCAACCAATCTCTTCAACCTTCTTATTAGCATGACTGTTTTTCCAAAATGACATACTTGTCAAGAGGATGAAATTGAAGTAGCTTTCTAAATTGAAAACATTGCCCCACAAACATTTGTAAATGAAATAGTGATTTCATCCCCTTGCAAGTGGCTGCAGTAGAGAGTGGCATTGGAATTGGTGATCTGTCTTCTACATCTACTTCAGTCAACTTTCCTTAACTCTAGGCTATATGGGAGCTCAGACTAACCCATTTTTAAATGTGCTTACATTCAATAATAGAAAACAGCTCATTGTGTTTCTGTTAAAGTTGGAAATCCCTGAAAATGGTTTTATGGACATTAGAGACTGTTACATTATAAAGCTAATATTTAATATTAATGACATAAAAGTATACCTACCATGGATATCTGTGCCTGTAGTTCAATCTCAAGACTTTGTAATGTGCGCCTGAGGTCTGAGATTTCGGTGCGGGTAGACTGGACTTCTTGCACACCAACGGAAATTTCCTTTTTCAGTTCATTGCTCTAAAATGACAAACATTTAAATTCTGATAAGAATTTTTTACAATTTCCCCTTAAACACAATAAAAGAAAACTGAAAAAAAAGGAAAGCTCTGCACAGTGATATCTAACCTTTTTGAGGAACGATGCTTCAGCCTCTTTGCGGTTCTTGTCTGCCAAAAGTTCATAATCTGCTCTCATATCATTTAGAATTTTGGTTAGGTCCACACCTGGTGCAGCGTCCATCTCAACACTGATTTGACCGGTGCTACCCTTGTAGGCACTCATCTCCTATTCATGTGAAGCAAACACATTTATTAAGATGCAAGTCATTTTAGCATATGGTATATTGTGCCACAGTATATAACATTTTCAGCATCATTTACCTTTTGTCCATTATAAAACTGTCTAATTTTGCTTTTTTTATAGTGTATTTTCATAACATTTACTTGATGATTTCTATGAGTGTCCAATGCCTAACTCATATGTATTATTTCAAAAAAGAATGATGGTACTGCAGTTTTTTGTAAGGTCAAATCAACTCAAGATGATTGTTTCAATGCAATGTGTGGATGCTGGCTGGGTGAATCCGACACTGGCTGGAGTTAATGGCTTTGCATGCATGCCCTTGCCTTAGCTGCATCTCCCTCTTCCTAAAGTGGAAGAACCCTTGCAGGGGTGAGTAGTTCAACCTGCTAACATTCATCTTAGGCTGAAATGTCAATTTCCATTCAGTTAACCATTTAAATAATCTTCCCACCTCTTGATGGTTCTTCTTGAGGAAAGCCAATTCTTCAGTCAAAGACTCAATCTGGAGCTCAAGGTCAGACCTGCCAAGTGTCAGTTCATCCAAGACACGTCGGAGGCCATTGATGTCGCTCTCCACACTTTGGCGTAGGCACAGTTCATTTTCATACCTAACATAGAGTAAGTGCATAAATTAATGGCTGCCTTAATTAAACATTTACTTTCTCTTCACATCAATGAATCACTTAATTTAGTCTCCTTTCACAACTATCCATTATATTCAAGTGCATTACTGCATGCATGTTATTGTTAGGCATTTTATTTGTTTATGTGCGTTGTGTTGAGGCAGACGTTTTTAATGCAGTGCACTACAACTGATCCATCTGGGCCTACTGTACTGTTACATTGGGATGCAGTTCTAAATGTACCACACAGAGCACCATCCATTATGGGGTATTGGGGTACCTCAGTCCTCAGTCCATATAGAAAAGTCTGTCCCCATCCAGCATGCTGCAGAGAAGGACTCTTGTTCTCTGAAGTAGCCCTTCACTGCAGCACGGGACAGGCTTTTCTCCTTAGGCTGTGGCTGTTTTCTAAAGAAAATTAACTATAGGACTTTGAATACCTTTTGTTTTAATGCACCTCGAATGTGTTTGGCTGATTTAAACTGAAAGATCAATTGGCCTTCAAGGTTAATCTGGTAAAAAATGCTGCACTTGCTGGCTAAAAAGAGTACATATGGAATGTTCATATGCCATATTTTATATTTACTTATCTAAAATAAAAAAATGTATTCTTCGCCTTGCATAACTCAAGGAAAACCTTGTGCATTCCATTTAACTCCTAATAGATGTGTGGTTTGCCACACAGCCTCTAGAAAATGTTAATTTGGGTGGACTCAATCTTTACTCTGTTGGGATCACTCATTATTCAACAGTCAAAGCACTTCCGAAGAATCCTTACTTCATTCTGAAGTCATCAGTAGCCAGCCGGGCATTGTCAATCTGCAGGACCACTCTAGCATTTTCTGTAGTGGCAATGATAATCTGTTGAACACAAAATAGAAAAACTTCATTGGTCTTTGATCATGAAACACCTCACTCTACTTGACAGGTCTTATCTTCTTAACATGTTAATACAAGTAATTACGACACTTATTAGCTAATCATCTGCCTGAAGGAACAGGAAATGGCTCACACAGACAACATTCCAATAAATTAGTGTTCACACCCTGCAAAACCTGCTGCCACATTGTACAACATGATAACCATTTTGTCAGTGTACCAACCAACTGAATCATACTGTAATATATATACTGTATATATAT